CGCCCATTCGTATGTGCGTAGCCAATCATCGATGTCGCCTGTTTCGAAGCAGAAGCAGCAAAGGTGATGGCGAGGGGGGGGGGGGGGGATTCTTCCTCTGGTATGGGATTTATTCGGTACGAATTAAAGGAGCGTCCTGTTCCACCTTCCGGCATCTCGGCCTATGGTTGTGGAAGTTGGCTGTTGCTGCGGAGCAACGCCTTGGCTGCAGAGGCCCGGAGAAGGACCGCACCTACACCAGAGGATGCTGTGATGATTGTGAATCAAAGACGAGACGTCTGCTCAATGGAGGGGTTTAACCCTACAAAGCATGGTGTATCTGATAGTATGCACTCCTATAAAAAGTGCCTTACGAACCCTAATGCATGCTCTATCACACCCGATACATGTTTTGTGTCATTTGTCTAAAAAACAAGTCATTCAGATGGAGTCATTTGGCTTCCCGGCGCTCATATGCATGGCTGGCTGACATGGGCAATGATTTCAGGGAAACTCAACTTCCAGGCTGTGCATCCCTAATGTTTGAAAATCGCCAAAATGTTATGTTGCGCTGTACACGATCAAAGGCACAAACTGCTTTCTTCGCATCCACAACCCATGAGGCAGGAATGCATCTTGAATCAAATAGAATATGTGAAGTATTTTTTTCGTTCCTCAGTTAAAAAACATAATAATCTTTTTTGATAATTCTTATAATCATGTTTTATAGTAGCAAGCACTCCTAAATAATTTCCAAAAAGATATAAAGTATTGCATTTTAGGGTAATTTGAACTGGCCGCCGCATGCTCTATACTGCTGTCGCTGCTACGACAGCTGCTACAGCCTGTCTTCCTCTTTCGCGTGGCAATATTTTTGTTTTATCTGAAGAAGTTTTGAGCGATTCTTTAACTGCACTGCCCATCTGTGTTACTTCTGGGATGTATATATTGGTTTTCTAATATATCTTCAAGCTAAATTGATCACCGCCCAAATACTTAATTAATGCGTACAGCAATAGGGTTTAGCGCGAAACTTCTCCATGTGCTGCGCATAAAGCTCGCACTGCTATATTTGTTTTAATCTTAAGTTAGATCCCTTCTCCTGCCCGTTTCAATTGAAGTGAGCATCGAACCGCCAACTGGTTGTCTAACGACTACGGCGTTATCGACGATAAACCTTGTGTAGCAGTCCTACTGCTCCGACTAAATATTTAATATATTGCGTGAAATAGTGTAACTAGCAAGGGTCAAAGGCCCGAAGGAAAAAACGAAAGTGGTAATATTTATCGCGCCAGTTAATCCCAAGCGACCAGCGGCATGAAATCAAGAATTGCCGCAAATGAAGCGATAGCTTCGAAGATCTGACGGAATTTGTCAAAAACATTTTCAACTCATATGATGTCTGCTAGAGCGGGACATATTCAGTATAGGTGTCTTAGTCTCCTGCATACAATGAAAAGACCGAGAATGTCACAAATTTGAGTGCCGTGCATTTTCTCTTGCTATCTCGACTACTTGTCAGTGCAGAGGGAGAAGCCTGCTCGAAAACCGCCGGCATGGCCGCTTGTACCGTCTTTAACTATTCGTCAGGGACTTCCCAATTAAAAGTTGTAATACCGCTAAGTCTCAGACCTGAGGTGCTGAAATGCTTGCACAGCGGTCACGTAGGCATTAACAAGTGTTAGGGCGTATGAGAAAGGTAATGATTTGTCCGGGATTCAATCCAGATATCCCAAAGATGGTCAGTCGATGCAAAATCTGCATGCAGTTGGCCTACCGCCAGTAGGAGGAGCCGCTTCAGCTACGAGGCACACCCTTGCCACACAGCGCATGAAATGGAGCAAAGTTGTTTATATATGGTGGGAAATCATATATGGTCCTTCACTATGCTTACTCTAAGTTTTTCGAGGTCGCCAATTTACGAGACGACCCATGAAAAATTCTGATCGACGTCATGACAAGTATGTTCACTCGCCATAACATCCCGCTCGAAGTGTGTACAGGCGGCGGCCCACAGTTCTCGAAAAGAGAATCAGCCGTGTTGGTAATGCACTATGACTTCAAGTATCTCATGTCTTGTCTGTACATCCCAAGATTGAATGGACTTGAGGAAAAAACACATAAGTAGTTAAAAGACTGCTGAAAAAGTGAAAACAATCCCGGCAAGAATTTTGGTTAGGTATAGACCAGAATCTGCTCTGTTTTATGGGCGCTGCCATGTTGATCGATGCTAGCGCCACCACACGGGAAAAAAAAATAAAAAAACCCACGGTGGTGGAGGGGGGCTGCGCAGTCCGCGCAGCCCCGCGTTGTTGGAGCGCGTCGAACAGCGAGGAGGGCGCAGACGACGCACACGCTTCGTTCAAAATGGAATTGTCAGAAGCTTCCACGGACAAGTTTACAATAGGTAAGCTGCTGTGCACATTTCCGGTAATATCTAAAACCCATCTGGTTAAGTAAACGAGGGCAAATATTTTCTATATTTATGCTTCCCGCTCTAGTACGCTCTTGGCATTCCCTCTCTCGGCTTTACTGCGTAGAAGGAACGGTAAAAAGAGTCTCGAAGGGGCTACCGGCGGTTCACGGTGTTGTTCGAACGCTAAATCGTTTGCTTCTTGCATGAATTAATACAGAAGAATAAGGAACTTTTCCGCAACTTCGATCCGATTCGGCTAAATCACGAAATCGATCTGGCTTCGACAACTTCTGTCGCGGAAAAAGGATTTAGGGGGATATGAATCGCGTCTACGTGCTTCCGAGCAGCACGCAATATATTCGTGCAGTGTTCCACAAAACATTTTCGCGATCATATTTGATCTTCCACACTGACAGGCATGCACGCGAACCGATTCAAAACTGATCTTATAACACTGAAGGCGCATTGCCTGTTTTTCCTTTTTCCATCCTCCGGATTAAAATTACTAACAGAGTCAAGCACAACGCTAGTGAATATCGGCTGATGACGTTTCACATGATTCGTCATTCGTACCGTAAATAATTTTATCGTTTTTGCTCTTTATTTCTTTTTAGCACCATTGAAGCTTCCAGACCCCTCCACCCTCTCCGCATGTGACTGGGTCGACAACATGAAGCAGTGGCCTCCTCTCCAGGAGCACCATCTCACATATTATTTGTTGAAAACAAAAGCCTGCGACCTGGAGGAGGTCCAGGCTTTGAAAAGCCTAGAATTGTATAATTATGTTGTAAGCGGTAAGGTGGGTCAGTTGCTCATAAACAAATTCTCTGATCATGTCTGCTTCATCAAAGGTGCTGTAACTCCATCTTAGTCAGAAAATTATGTTCCCCGTAAGCCCTGGGTATGCATTGCAACTGATGGAAACGACTGCCGTGTGCTGACAGAAGCCTGTTCTTTGCAAGGTTGGCAAAACTCGTATGTGTAGTCACATTGGTAAGTTGCAGAACAGAGCATGTTTCCCCAATCTTTCAGGTCTGTTAGATTTTTTTTTTAGATTAGAGAACTCACAGTCGCATAAAGGATCGCCAAAGTAATCAATATACAGTCGTTTCGTAGAACAGTGACTCAAAGCCTAACTTCTCGGCTCTCTCAGCAATCCAGCAAGCTTCAGGGTGCCAGTGATAGCTTTGCCCAGCATAACATTTATCTTTTACCACTTCGTTTCAACTTTGCTGCACAGAGCTCACGTGTCAAAACAATGAACGAAACTTACTCGATAACTGTGGAACTGAAATCTTCCCGAGATTTCTAGAGTTCATACTTTGCAAACTTATACATCGGAAACAAATGTGATATCTTTGAATTTGTGAACTTAGACCGCAAGAATAATCTAGAAGTCTCGAAAGCTTTTAACTTCGCAAACATGAACCTCGGCCAGCCACGTAGCCAGGGGGGGGGGGGGGGGGGGGCGAGGCGAGGGGGGGGGGGGGGCGGGGGCGGCCATGGGGCCAACCCCCGCCCCCCCCCCCCCCCCCCCTTGAAACAAAATCCTAGCTACGTGCCCGACCGCGGCGGCGCTCGCATGTTGTGAACTTTGCAAACTCGAACCTCGGTACAGTTAGAAAGCTTCAAACTTTGCAAAAGCAAACCTCAGCGAGGTTCGAAACCTTTTGAACTCAAACCTCAGGATGTTTGCGACATCTGTAGTTGCGACAGCCAAAACTGACTGCTTTGAAACAGTGAGACATCGTACACATGGTGTACAGTTCTCATTAAATGATTATGCTGAATACTGTAAACGACTAAATTTTCGCGAGGACCTAATTTTTGCGAATCGCCTACGATTCGGGGAAAATGCGTCCTGCGAACTATTCGGGCAATATGTGAACGCTACGAAAGTTACACTCGATTCGCGAAAATTAGAACCCGCGAATAATTTCCAATTTTTAGCTTTGACCCGATTCGCAAAAACTTCAGCCCGCAAAAATTAAGTCGTTTACAGTATGCAAGTGCCGGTTTGTCGTGCCAGCATTCTGCAACTACTAGAGTTGCCAATCGCTTTGCCACGACTGCCTTAAAGTTTTTCTCTAGAAAATGTGTTTAGTAAGACACATAGTTCTGGTGCCTAACCTCTGAATTCACAAACCTCGCTTCAATTGAGGGGCCCTTCCAGTTTTCCGAGGAAGGCGCTGGCCAATTGTGACGGCGGATCCTTCGTCGTCATTAGCCAGCGCCGGCCAGCGCCGGCCCTCGCGCCTTCCTCGAGGAAGTGGAGGGGCCCTCAATTGGAGTGAGGTTTCTGAATTCGGCGATTAGTGTGTCTAAATTACTGCACTGATGTTATCTTGTTCTGTCTCAAGGTTGTCTTTGCGACATAGAGGAACCGCCATGTTTCAATTACTAAAAGAGCAAGTATATAACTGCATTTGTACTATTTTGCTACTCTTGATAGCGCAATAGATTACCAGATGTCTAAATAAATCTTTGCTTTCAATTTGTAGGTGCTGTCCTTTGTAAAGTAAAGTTTGCTGTCCGCAAGGGCCTGACTGGAAGCTCGTGCACGGACGAAACTGCTCTCTGGAACTCCGGCACGAAACGCAATGTGGTACCAGGTCAGATTGGAGACATGTACTTCATACTGAAGAAGGAGACGGGGGAGCAAGTACCACCCTCTGAAAAAGTGCGTTTTGAAAAATTTAACACCCACGGAGAATATGTCAAACATATGCAAGACTCGGTTGTGTCGCCACTCCTGACAGTGCAGGGAAGTCTGCTTCAAGCTACTATAGCTGCAGATGTGAGCAGCTTGGCATCAGGCGTCAGTGGCTTGCAACCAGAGTGTCGAACCGATATTTTTATCGGTTCGGTTCGGGTTCGGGTTCACGGCTTTCGGTTCAGTTCCGGTTCAGTTCCGGGGCGCAAAAAATAACGGTTCAAACCGGTTCGAACCGGTTCGAACCGGTTTGAACCGCTAAATTGATAATATATTTTCCGCTTTGTTCTGTCATATGCACTATTTAGGCCGTAAAACTAACTGCTGTAAACGATCTGATTTTTGCGAGGACTTATTTTTGAGAATTTCGCGAATCGCCTACAATCCGCAAAAAATGGGTCCCGCGAAATATTTCAATAAAATGTAAACAGATTGAAATTTATATTGAGATTCCACCGCGTCGAGAAAATTACAACCCGCGAATTATTCCGAAACTTCAGCTTTGACCTAAATCGCGAAATATTGAGCCCACGAAAAATAAGTCGTTTACAGTATATAGATTTCTTCTTTTTTTATCGTTTGTTCAATCCAGTTTTGTTTTCAGGTACAAACATTATAAAATTCTGTTATTTATACCTACACAACAAGAAAGGAAAATCTACATTAACATACAAAACGTCGTGTATATACGACTCAACATTCCTTCGTTTGCCAGAGTCACATACATTGTACCTGAATCGAAATGTTTTCGCGAAGTGAAGTAGCTAGGTGGCCTGAAATACCCGTGATTGGTACAACGTTGTATCGCAGTATTAGATGTTGATTCGTGGTTTTGCCCTTGAACTAAGGAATTCATTACAGTGAATAAAATAATGAAATGGGCAGTTCGTCGCCATATACACCATAAAATGTGTTTTATGGAATACGTTTCACAATATATATATGATGACGAGACGACTGAACTCAAGGCAATATAATTTTCAAGATGTCACGAAAGTCACGGGACAAGTCCTTCCAGTCTATATTTTACAGAAACACTAAGCGACAATCGCGATGCTTGTTTTTCTAACTAGCATTGTTTGCTCTCGGCAGCATGATGCGGGCGACGAATCATGCGAAAAGGAGTGGCTGAAATTATTCACTCTAACCTACTAGCACCCTCGTACTGAGATCGAATCTGACCTAAAACAGTGCTTACCCATGTGAACATTTTCTTATATTGGATAAACTGGCATAGCCTGGTTCTTGAGGTTTGCTCTTGACAAAATGTCGGTCAATTTAATTTGCAAATAAGCATCACCCTCGCTAATTGATGATTTTTGTTAAATAGAACAAAGTGGAATTTCATGCTCTACTCAATTCGGAAGCTACTTAATTGGACACTTTCTGAGAGTTTAAGTGTGCAATCGTCATAGTTCCACCATTCGTTCCAGTAAAAAAAGGCGATAATAAAAACACATAAAAAACGAAATAATAAACTTCTATATATTCGAGAAGTTATATATGCGTGAGGAACACATATAGTTATTTAAATTAGCTTCAAAATAAAAAAAAAACATTATTTAAAGCTTTTCCAAATCACCTATAACGTGTCTATTGAGGATAAAAGCGCCGGAAAAGATTTGCAGAACATCTTTCAGATAATTTAAAGGTTCATTTACTTATATATCTTTGAGGTGACGATCTTCTATTTATGCTGCCAAATCTTCAGACAGGAATTAAGTATATTTTTATTATCATCGATAAATTGGACTTTATGAATTTCACATAACCGCCTGAGGCCGACGCGGAAGGACGATACTCGAAAATACACCAGCTGTTGAGTCTTCGGAAACGTGCTTTTGTTAGCTGTTTTGCAGTGTAAAATACTGGGTTGCAGGGTATGCAAAAAACACTGTGGTCACATGATATATCTGAAGGCAAATACACGAAATGTGCAGAAATAAGGAGATGAAACGCAATTTTTTCTAAATAATCCCTTACACAACGCTTTACTGCAAAAAGAGATGCATAGAAATGCATAAAATGATATTCCTAATTAAACATAGATTCCGCACAGGGCAAACGAAGATTTTTAGAATCCTAATATAAATCACTTTTGGGCATCAGCTTGCCTCAGCTCGAAACGTCGCGAGATACTACCTCGGGAGGCTAATGTTATCTTAGGTTTTACGTACAGTTGTTTTGGGACCTTACTTCACGACTCTGTTCTTTATCAGTCATGTGCTGCAACATTTCATTAGGCTGCCGTATATCATCGTTTGGGAGCCTCAATGGTGTGCATACATGTAAAATGGGTCGTGCAGCATTTTTTTTTTTTACCTTAAGTTCAATAAATACCGCTAAGTTGTAAGCCTTGACGTTTATAACTTGCAAAAGCATCCATTAGTTTGCCCCTCCGCGAAATGGCAGACGCAGTCAAAAGAAAGAAATGAAACAGCTTTCCCTCCTCAACTCGCCATTAGAATTATCAGCCACGTGATCTGATCCTAATATATGCACCATCAATGTTTATCATAGTCCTACGCAGGGTTGGCAAAGCAGAGAGCATGGGCTAATCTTCAGGTATAGTTTTAGTTCGGCTATAATGGGGCCCGAGCCCCACTAAAGCGACAAACAGAAACAAACGACAGCGGCTAGCCTTAAACCAGAGAATTTCGCGATTTGACAGGCTTTGTAGAATAAAGAAGGCTATGCCAAAACACGAGTATCCTTCGCACGATGGTACCATTTGCAGGCTTGTAAACACTCGTGTAACCTTCGCGAGCACCGAACAACTCAAAGCCGTATAAAGGTACCATCGCGAACATGCTGCATGTGTCTGAGGCTTGTCGCTTTCGTTTGTTTCTGCTGCTAGCTCTTGTGGGACTCGGGCCCATCATAATTTTTGAGTTGAACACGAGCCGTTACCCGAATGTTTGGCGATACTGGTTGTCATGAACCAGGGCATTCGACTCGGGATCATGACAATCGAGTACATCATGGTGTCACGTGACTCTCAGTGCGAAGTTGTGATGTCATGTGACGTCACGGTATCAACAACGTTAATAGATCTAGCGACGTTCTCAATTTGAATCGACTTAACGCGGTGAGTCACGTGACGTCACGGGGTCACGTGATGTGACATTACTTGACAGGATGTCTTAACATGATGACGTCACGTGACGATGTGACACATGGCTAGTCATAGTGCCAATAAGAAAGCGCCGCAAAAAACAAGGATTTATTATACATTGCAATTCTGTATATGACGATTTGATCAATACGTAGAGGAATACACGTGCCAATTTTTTATTCCCAAATAATAAATTTGTAATACTAACAAAAAAAAATACCGTGAACCGTTTTGAACCGGTTACCGTTATATTTTTTTCCGGTTCAGTTCCGGTTCAGTTCCAAGATGGCGGCGAAGATTTCGGTTCGGTTCAGTTCCGGTTCGGCTAAAAATAACGGTTCTGTTCCGGTTTTCGGTTCGGTTCGGTTCCGGTTCGACACCCTGCTTGCAACTATTGTCTGATGAGGTGATTCATGGTAGTCATCAGAATGTTGAGCCGCTTTCGTGTAGTGCATGCTTTCCTTTTTACAAGAAGTGGGTTTCACTTGAGGAATGTGCGAGAAGAGTAGCCGGAAGGTGCGGTTGACCGCGTCTATCCTGTCTAAGGTGCCAAAGAAGACGTCGACCTCACCTGACAACTTTGTTAATAGCTGTTTACACTCAAACTTTAGAGGTAATAAGTACACTGAGCACGGGAAACTGTATGAACCTGTAGCTAGAGCGGCATACCAACAGAAGACTGGGAGGGTGGTGACCCTGTGTGGCGCTGTCGTGAGTGCGACACACCCATTTCTTTCGGCAAGTCCGGATGGCCTTTCAGGACATGACAGCATCCTTGAAATTAAATGCCCCGCAACTGGCAACTGCAGAAAATACATTCGGGAAACAAGAGACTATGATGTCAAAGTCATTAGAGCCGAGGGAAGTGGGGATGACAACGACGACGAGGACGACAATGATACTTACTTCCTTGCCAAAAATGGAAAGCGGGGTTTCTACTTCCAAGTCCAGTTCACAATGTTCTGCACTGAGAGAACCCGTTGTTTCTTCTATGTGTGGTCCCTTGATAAGGACGTCCTTTTTGAAGTGGATTATGACCAAGACTTTACAATTGACCACATCACCCGCTTTTCAGACTTCTATTTCCAGCACTACCTGCCGAGACTGGTGAATGCCGTACACGATCATACCGTTGTCCTGTCTGATGAGTATGCTGCATTAGCTAATATGAAGTGAACTGTTTCTGATCCTTTACTCATGCACTGTTTTGAATATTTTTAGAAGCAGGATCTAGACTACAGTGCCAAGTTTGGCAGACGATATTTCTAGACTGTGCTGACAGCGAATTAACTGCGGCTAGCGTGTTGCCACTCATGTTTACATGTGCATTTTTACCAGTGCAATTGCATCAACGCTCGGGCATATGTGGGGAAAATGTGGGGGAAAAAAGTGGTTTGTGATATTTTTAGCACTGTCTTATTTTGTTCTGTCAATGTTCTTAAAGGAGTCATGAAACGCTTTTTTCAAATTTTTTTCTGTTTAGCTTTCCTCCTCAACTCATAAATCGAGCATTGTACCAAACAGTTCAAGAAGTCGGAAAGAAGGGAGTCCCCTCTTGCTCGGAATCTTGCTTGTGTTGTCCGGACACAGCCATTGTCCCCCTAGAAGATTAGCCCGTCGCTCAAAATTCCGACTAGTTGCTTTCCCCACCCCGTTCACCCCGAAGCTGACAGTGCTGTGGAAGCTACGTGCTCGTTGGGCCAGCCACACATTTTCCACGTGATCACGCCCTCTCGCGGATACCGACCCGCAGAGAATGAGGTCAGGTGATGAAAGGGAGGCGGCTGATTGGTCCGGCAAGCGCGTAGCTTCCACCGCAATGTCAGCTTAGGGGTAAAGGGATTAAGTGAGGTCCGGTGTCGTGTGACGTGCGCTTGGGCCCTGGTGACGCGCTGCGGGGGCCCGGTTATGGTGGCTAGTAGCCCGGTGACGCGCTGCGGGGTCCGCGGATGTATCACAGTGAAAAGGCGGAGAGTTTGCGAAGGGAAGGAGGTACGAAATAGTCCGCTATGTTTTGCAAATTTTCGTAGCGAAAGTCAGGCTTCTGACTTTCTACCTTTGTTCTTTTGGCCCACTGAACGATGTGCTATTAGTAAAATCCCAATATAAATTGATTTACTCCAGCCCGAAATTCGTTTCATGGGTCCTTTAAGGTGACTTCAGAATCTTTGATAATAAATACAGTTCGTAATATGTTTAGCACTTGGATTGTGAAAAATATACGAGTGATAGATATACTAATTTTCATGCACGAGTCGGCAACTTGCATTTTGTGTGCCAAAACAAAAACCTTCGACACCAACTAGCTTCGTCCCTTTACCTGTTTGCCTTTCAGCTTTCTTGAAGTCCATTGATTCAACCACTTGCCACTCAGGTTCAAGAAGATTGGCAGCATCCACAGGACAGAGGTGCACCAGCTATCTTTATGCAAAAATACTCCAAAAGCTAGGAGACATCAGAACTAAATTAAGAGCACCGACTTGACACAACAGAAAAAAAAGGACATTCCTGATAAATAGCGTTGACTTGAGGTTGAACCTTGCATTTGCTTCGTAACCACTGAAGATGCCTCTTGCATGGGAGGCAAAACGTCTTAACGTAATTGTATTTCTGTTGTGTCAAGTGAGTGCTCTTATTTTAATTGGCTATCTTCATATAAGCCTCACTTGCACCAATCAAAACGATTGCACAATTATGGTATAACTTACCTACTTTCATTTGGAGCCACATGAGAAGGAACTGCAATGGTCCAGAGGAAAATAAAGATTATTATTCCTGTGTTCACATTGTGCTTATCTCTGAATCAGAAGCACATAGATGCAATTTTTTCTTGTGGCAATTTTTTCTAGCCAAGTCTACAATGTATTGTAGCCACCTGTTGTACCCACAAAGACACATATTCCACGTTTATGACACCATCACCGCATGTCCGACTCGAGTGACAATTAATGTAGATAAGTTAATTCCAATAGGCACAGGCGTACCAAGTGGTATGCATTCGTGGGTAGTTCCACATGCTACCGCTTCATGACTACAAAAGTGGCGCTGTGGCCAGGGTACCGGTGCATGTGTGCTCGAAGGGCACACAAAGGCGCCGCAAAGGCTGGATTTCGCCAGGTCCTCTTGTTGCCGCTGCACGGTCTCTCGAAGTCCGGCTTTCGCGAAAGCAGTCTCCAATGTTAAATCTGCGTCCATTTGAAGCAATTCGGACAGCTTTCTGTTGCAAAATCCCACAATGAACTGGTCGCGGATCAGTCTTTCTTCGGGTCGCCGAATTCTCGCCTTGCTGCGAGTGTGGGTATGTAGCTAAGTGACAAATTGGTCCACCGTCTCATCGTCTCCCTGCACCCTCCGGTTAAGACAAGCGCTCTCGTACACCACATTCTTTGAATGCACAAAGTGAGCGTTGAACCGCCTCTTGTGTGATTCTTGCACTCTGTCTCAGTGATGTTAAAGGTTAACATGCAATCTTCAAATTTGTCCAACCATGCTGGTCAGTCGGCGACGTCAAATTCAAAAGGGGACAGTTGATAGATGCTCATGGTTACTGGTGGGGTGGATGCAGCCGACTCCTCGTCAGGCAGGCCTTTCAGCAACGGGAGTGTGAAGTGGCTTGGTCACTCCTGACAGCATGTCTCAGCAAGTACTCTGTGTGTTTATTCTTCCCAGCGCTACCCGTTCCAACCTCGGTCAGAACTAGAGCGCCACCCTTAGTTGTTCAGTAACACTACATGCGCTTCGTGAACCCTTTCTTAATCATTGTTGTCCCTTATCTTGCGCTTCTGAGGCTCTCTGTTGGCAATCAGGGGACCCTTCAAGTTGCACAGCCCAGCACAGACCTGGACGATTTTGTTCATTATCTTTTTGGGGTGAATCGCCAGAGGTTGCTTCAATATCCGGTACGTTTTAATTCTTCCAATGGCCCTTTCCACATGAATCCGCAGCCTTGAAATTCTTCTAGACACGGTCGCCTCCATTTCGGAGATCTGCTTCCGTCCTCTTGTGAAGGCTGGGACGTTCAGTTTCACCCCCTCTTCTTTCATCTCGGTGCTGAGGCTAAATCCTTTGTCAGCCATTATGTGATCATTGTGCGACAGGTACTCGACGAAACCAGACTCGTCTACTATGTGCTTGTCGGACGCACGCCCTCCGTATGCACAGGACACCAACTTCACGACTCCACTCGGTGCGACAGTAATCAGGAACTTCACCGTGTTCCGTCCTTTGTAGTAGCTGAAAGACTGTCCTCTGGCAAACAGCCGTTTCGGCATTTGGAGTGGTGCTTCCGTGCAATCGATGATGGCCGTGGTATTTGCGTATCCACCCTCGATGAACTGAGCAGGGAGAGTCGCTAAAATCTCCTCTTTTGGCAGCCAGGCAATCACTTTGGAGAAAATGCCTGCTAAGATGTTCATGAGCTTGCGGAACACTCTTCCAACTTGTGCAACTGGTATATGGAAGCGCCGTGCAAGGTCTCCATAAAGCAAGCACAGGCGCAAGCGCATCAAAGTCATCAACACTTGGTCTCCAGTGTTCATGGTGCCAGACCTGTACACCATACTAACTGCAGCAACGAGCTTGGCAAAACCATCAAGGTTTCAAGGTTAAGGCCTGTATAAAAACAACAGTCTGCTTCTGACAGAGTTTGCGACATTGGTAGATATACTGTTTGCGTCTCCGTTGACTGGGTTGCAGCTTGTGTTGCTGCATAGCTGTGTTCTGCTCGGACAGACTTGGAAAGGACCTCCCACTGTGTAGCACAGTTGACCATCAGAAGCCTCGCTTGCACACCGTACACTTCAAGGTCCTCCCACTGTGTAGAACAGTTGACCATCTGAGGCCTCGCTTGCACACCGCAGTCGTGATACTCGCTAGGTGCAGGAGTCGTGGAAGCAACCTCTTGGTCAAGTCCATGTACAAATACACTTGACTGGGCAGGTGCTTGTGTTGTCTTGGAAGAGCAAGAACCACTACTTGAGTCGAAGGCGTCTGGGGCAGTTTCAGTTGATGTCTTGGATGAACAAGAACCACTGCTCAAGTCTAAGGCATCTGATGCTGACAAAACATCGGTTGGGCGTAGTGCAGTCGGATTATCAATTGCAGCAGACACCGTTGGGGCTGTAACGTCTGCTGAGGGGGCCTGCAGGTGCCTTTGAATTTGTCGCCGACCAGGCCTCACCTAAAGGGTAAATTGCGAAGAAGTGATGTGACACAAGAAATCATATTACCTGGCTATAGTCAGTGACCAGTTAAGAAATCAGTGTAGTAGTATAGAGGCCCTACCTACAAGCATTATGTGCCCAATTCAAGCAGCTCTGCTGACGAAAAAAAATATCAAGCAACGCCATTTTTTTTAAGGAGGCCACTGCATTGTATGTTTAGGTAACTCAAACTAAGCAGATTTCACTGTCAGTGAAAATAAATCATTAAAGGGTGACTCCTCTCAAATCCGTAGATTTCGGGATAATGAGTGATTTCGCATTAAAAAGCCCTAGTAAAAGACACTACCATAAAATACCAGAGGAGCGCCCACCCCACTTCCACTGGATTAATCCAGACATAGGAGCTTGTCTGGTCAAATTGGGCGCTTGACATCAAATTTTCAGAATTCCGTAGTTTGGAACACATTTAATAGCGGGCGCTTGAACGAGGTGGGCGCTTCCGCGGTATTTTACAATACGTCATTTGCTTCGCGAAAAATAGGATATATATTTTTAAATCTAATTTTAGACACGAGCAGAAATCTCAACTGAAAGTTCGGCTCCGTCCGGCAACATTGACCTCGGGCCGCCTTGAACATGGCCATCACGTGGAACAAGATGTCGCGTGATCCTCTACGTGACGTCAAGCGGGATCGGGGCGGGCGTGTGCCAAGCGCAAGTGTCGTCTGCAACATACTTTTCACCACGTCTTGGTGTCTACGACATTCAACGTCTGTATAACTGCAGCATAAGTGCGTACGTAGTGTCCGTAGTGTGAATGCAGTTATGACGCGGGAAACGGCAGTAACAGCGGGGCGGCCGGACTGCTCCCAAGAAGCGTGCTGCACAGACGCGCCGAGAGATAACGTTGCTGACGTCACCCGTTACGTTTGCCCAGAGAAGTAAAAACAGGCAAAAAGGGACAATTGCGATGACGTTGAGCTCATTGTTGGCTACGCCCACGCCGTAGCCTTAAATGCGCTGTTGGTTGCGCCTCAATTTGCGCGCTCGAGTCAGCCGATTTCGACAACTTGGCGAGTTGCAAAGTTTGCCGAGCTGTTAAGAAACATTTAGACCGAACTACGTCGTAATATTTGACGTGTGGTCTTCCTAGGTGATAATGAACAGGACTACTATTTCTTTTTTTTAATGAAGCAGAGTTGCCTTTTAATAAAGAAAACTGTGGCTACTATTCAGATGCGATCATACCACAAGCTGCAGGTAGCGAAACTTATCGCCTGCCATGAACAACAATTTTCATGGTACAGACCAAACATAGTTGGAGCTCACTGTCGGCGCACGCAAAGCAGCAACGAACACGTGCAAATAAGTATAGGTATTTTCGTTTTTCGTCGTAGCTCCAACATGGTTGTGTTTTGGCATTGTAAGGTTCTCGGCACACCCTCTTGGAAAGGAAGGCAACTCGACCAGCGCTTTTATGTTGTGGCGAGACAAGCCCCTGAAAGTTATGCCACCATCATTGCACTCTGGGTCATCAACTCTGTCAAGGACGTTCTCAGCTTTTAGTCAGTATTTTACGAAACAATCATGCCTATGCGGAGGGCAAGTTCGTCTGCTTTTTGCACAGGGGGTAGCGATGACGTCGGAATGCCGAGCCCCGATTGGCTGATTGCGACCCCCTATCTGAGCGTCGACTGCTCCTTTGCATCGTTGTCTGCTCACAACGTCGAGTCTGCGCCTGCCTTACCTTTCCTGCGACATTCGGAAGTGCAGATCTCTACGAGCGAGCTCGACTTCGCCTTTCAGAGAGGGCAGGCAAAATCACTCGAGCGGTACGTTGTTTTTGTCTGACAACTAGCAGACGCGCATCAAGGAGAGAAGTAAAAGGACTTATATGCGAGGTGTCCCGAGGCACCGAGGTTTGTTTGCTAAGAACCGACAGGGGTGAGGGTGGTTAGTCTCTGCAAGTTCCCTCCCAAATACTTTTTCCCTCCTTCCGTGTGCGACGAGACTCCTCACTCTTTAACGGCGTCAGCGGGTTGGTGCAGTTAACGTCGTCTGCTTTACGTCTGCTAGTCAAAGCGATGGCTGCTTTACCTTTCCTGCGTCTGTCGGAGATTCACCGGTGAGAACGTGGCCTTCGAAAAAGGCAAAAAGAAATACCTTGAAGGATACGTCCTTTCTTTTCAGGTGAGGGATTTCACTCTAGTTGCGAATGTCCAGGCGTCGTTGAAGAATTCTAGCTACATGGTAAAGATGAGGCTCTCCGATAAAGGTGACATTTTAGAGAGTCACTGTGAGTGCCCTCGCGGGGTCGCAAAGTGCAGCCACATGGTGGCTACCGCAATTTCCGTGGCTCTGAATGGACTGTCTAAGACGAACCTTCCACAGCAGTGGCTGCAACGCCCCAATAGCAGCATGCCGCGGCAGGTCGCTCGCTCAGGCAAGAAGTAAACATCATGTTCATCGCTATTTTAAAACGTTTAGTTGCACAAGTTTCGTGAATGGTAGCTCGCGTTTAATGAGTTGATCAAAAATAATCAGCTAAAGACAGATGACAGCCGATGTAGTGACTGTAAATAAACAATTGTGGCTGTGCGATCGGTACTGTGAGCACATCATAGCCCAAAAGTGCTCGATCGCTGCTTGTCACAACTTTCTCGCTCGACTAAAAGGCTGTTGTCAGTTAGCGTATTATGGTATGTATGTGTGGCGTAAACCCAAGTGGCAAAAGTTTGAAAACCTGTGGTAATCTGTGGAAGAAAATCCGAGCAAGATCGATCGAGCTACCCGAGTGGCGTCGAACGTATCGCGGAAGTTTTGTTGTAGATTCGTTAACACCAAGACGTAATTATTGTTATAATACAAATAAATGCAAAGGTGTAAGCGAGCTCGACAAGAATGACGAAAATAATCCCTGGAGAAGGGGAACAAAAGGGACAAAGGACAACCACAAATCATTTTTGAAGGCCGCGTTCTCGCCGGTAAAAAGCGGTGAATCTCCGACAGACGCAGGAAAGGTAAAGCAGCCATCGCTTTGACCACCATACGTAAAGCAGACAACGTTAACTGCACCAACCCGCTGACGCTGTTAGAGAGTGAGGAGTCTCGCCGCACACGAAAGGAGGGAAAACTTATTTGGGAGCGAACTTGCAAACACTAACCACGCTTACTGTCGGTTTTTAGCAAAGAAACCTCGGCATTTCAGGACACCTCGCCAGTGAGTCCTTTAACTTCTCTCCTTGATGCGCGTCTGCCGCTCGAGTTATTTCGTCTGCCCTCTCTGGAAGGCGAAATCGAGCTCGCTCGTAAAGACCTGCACTTCCGAGAGTCGCAGGAAAGGTAAGACAGACGCAGACGACGTTGCAAAGGACGAGACGACGCTCAGATGGGGGGGTCGCGATCAGCCAATCAGGGCTCGGCGTTCTGATGTCACCCCTGCGCAAGAAGCAGACGAACTTGCCCTCCGCATATCATCGCCTATTGTTAAGTGCTAATGCAGGTGTGAGCACCGGTCATTTTCAACAGTTGTTAAAGGATAAAAAGAGGTCATGTGGACCGGTACTGACTGAAGCCAGGGGGCCTATGTTCGACAAATGTTTTGTTTCTCCTAAAAAGAAACGGAAGTGGCGGAACTGACGATATTGCGTCCGAGTGGTTAAAGGCTCAAATGACGGAAGTTCCCTCTCTCGTCATTTGAGCCTCTAGCCAATCGGACGGGATATCGTCACCTCCGCTTCTTTTTAGGAAAAACGAAACATTTGTCGAACATACCCCCCCCCCCCCCCCCTGGTTTAGAAGGTAGTTAGTCTATGAATTGTCTGATCTGGTTCGAAGTCAGGCAAATCTGTCAAATGTAATTTCAAATCCCTTCGTTTGATCTCCAAACCTCGGGTTTGAAAAAAAGGTTGCGGCATCTCTAGGCAAAAGAGCACACCAAAACTAATTTTGCACTTCAGAAAGTGCAAAGAGAACTATGTGCCAGTTATTTTCCAATTCATTTACCTTTCTCTGGTACCCAAGCTTGAGCATTGGCGCTGGATTAGTGGTCGTTGGCTTCCCGTCCAAAAAGTGCACTGAGCACACCTGGAAAACACATTTATGAAGGATTTGGTGACAACCAAGGGTCATCCAATAGTGTTCCCTCCAGGAATAGCACAAAGCACATTCTAAAGAATGCCACTAAGGTGCAATTAACGCTCACTGCCTTGCTATACAGAATAATCTGGGGAGAAATGTCTACATTGATACCTTTTATTGGGAAGATAACATATGCTCTAAGGTTTCGCGACACAGCACGAGCAAGAGGTCACATTGCAACACAGCACGAGCAAGCCGTTGCCGGTTTTTTCTAGGACAAATGAGATGCTATCACCACAATTACGCTGTGTAAAAGG